CTGCTCGACCGTCAACTCCTATTTCCACTTGTTCTCACAAGCAGCTAGCCAAACTAGGCTTTGCAAATGTAAACCAGATTACACCACCCTCCTGATCAAAACCCTGCAGGAGCATCCTGTCTCCACACAGTCCAGGCTTCTTCCATCTGCCCCACCCCACCTCCTCCTCACCACCAGCTGCTGTCACACTGCAGAGCACCGCTCCCTGGACATCAACCTCGGCTTCTCTCTCACTTTAACTGCATTTCCACGCAGCTGTTACTTACCCCAGTGACCAACCCGACTTTTTCTCCCTCTCTCCTCCCCCATGACCCCTTACTATTCATTTTTCTATATGGCCCTTGTTTGCCTTTTTACTCTGAAGCACCTAAGAGCTATCCCAGGTATACACTAGACGCTTAATAAAAGTGTGCTCAACAGGGGCTGGAGAGATGGCTCAGAGGTTAAGAGCACTGACTGCTCTTCCAGGGGTCCTGAGTTCAACTCCTAGCAACCACATGGTGGCTCCCAACCATCTGTAATGAGATCTGGTGCCCTCTTCTGGCCTGCAGGAATATATGCAGACAGAACACTGTGTACATAATAAATAAATAAATCTTTAAAAAAAAAAATGTGTGCTGAACAGCTTAGGCACATGGTGTACACTGCTGGGAGGCTACCACAGGAGGATTGCTTGACCTCAGAAATTCCAGAACAGCCTGGGCAACTCAGCAAAACTGTCTTTAAAGGTAAGTAAATAAATAAACATAATGAATGAAAGAAAAGGAGGAGAAAGCTGGGGGAGGAACAGAAAGTTAAAGGGATCCAAGAATAATATCTGAGAAAGCTACTGGTTTCTCTTTTTGAAAAGAGTGTGACATTGAGTGACCTGAACCATCAGAACTAGAAAGTGAAAGTGCATCACTACATTCTTAAAAACTGCAGCCTGGCTCCCTGCCACCTTCTCCCTCCACTCTGTGTCCTGTCCTTTGTTGTCACATGTGTATCTCAGGGAGCACAGGCCTGACACAGAATCCTCTCTCTTCCCACAGACCCAAACACACGACTTACACACGCAATACCGTGAACGCTGGTTTTGTTTTCGACAGACCTGAGAGTGCAATCTCAGGGGCCAACGGGGCTGGACAGGAATACGAAAGAGGGAGACGCCAGAGACTGCCGAAGCTAGGCCAAGAACGTGTGTTCTGGCAGGTGGTGGTGGTGGTGGTGGTGGTGGTGGTGGTGGTGGTGGTGGTGCCAAGCCTTTAATCCCGGCACTCGGGAGGCAGAGGCAGGTGGATCTCTGAGTTCGAGGCCAGCTTGGTCTACAGAGTGAGTTCCAGGATAGCCAAGGCTACACAGAGAAACCCTGTCTTGAAAAAACAAACGAACAAAAAAGACCACTAGGCTCCATAAATTAACAGAGACATGGAATGATACAGGCTCAGAAGCCCAGAAAAGGACCTGAGACAAATAAAACTTTAAGGTAAAAACAAATACCAAGACCATCACTCAAAATACACCCTTCAGGAAGCTGACCCTGACTGACCTCACGAATCTGATCACTGTGAGGAGAGCTGCCGGGTCTCTAGAAACTCTTCAGGCTACTTGACCACACTGAACATCATCCACTGATAAACGAACAGCCAAGTCACACCGCTGATAGTATCACATGTTCCAGCGTAACGAAAACTGAGAACGGAGGGAGACACAGCATCTTTGTTTTTTCAATTCTGAATTTCAAACAGACTTTGTAAATGCTCTAAGAACTCCACTATTTACCTATACCTACCAACTGTTAACATTTTCCTTGATTTCTTTATCATTCTCTTTTCTGTTGTCCCTAAACTTATTTAAACTAAGTCACAGACCCACTCCTTGATCCTCCAGGATGTACTGTCTTCTTACAGAGGCATTCACTTACACAGTCACAGACCAATTACCAAACCAGGAAATTGAGTACAATCATCCCGTCTCCAAACGTCAAATGTAGCCAGCTGACCCATTACTCAGCAGCCTTGTTTTCTGCCTCTAAGGCCACAGTGCAAGTTCTGTCTTCATCTCAGTTACTAAAGGTCGGCGGCTGGTTCCCCAACCTGTGTTCGGACACGGCCTCTCTCTTTGATAAAGCCTCCCCTGGGCTCCGCCCGCCCTTTCCACACAATGGGACTGAATGTTATGCATTTCTGCAGAGGTATCTTTCCTCCTCCATACAGCACACCACAAGTAAGTGCCACTGCTAGAGATACTAACCTTGGTCACTTGGTTAGAAAGGTAAAGTCATCATTTCTCACCTTTTTGATCATTAAATGACTTATGAGGAGGTGAGTGCACCCCTGTTCCTCACAGAACCCTGCCCACACTCTGCCACCAACTGATGATTCCTGCTTGAGTCACTTGTTACTGTAATGGCTGCAGAATGCTCCTTACAGCTTCCACTCCTGCCAATTCCCTGGCTGACATCAGTCAGGAAGGTCCCCTGCAACCCGTGTATTTACCCACCAGTGGTATTCTGACCTAACCCCGCAGGGCTACACTCCACTTGGCTTTCACATTCAGTCAGATATGGTGAGTGGGAGCTCCTTCCAGCTCCTTCCTGTATCTCTCCGACAGGTCTGTCTGAGCACTGCCTTGCCTGGGGACGAGATGTTCCACTTTTGTGCTTTCCCTACACAGACTACTCTGGAGGGAACCAGCCGCTTCTCTAAAGTGCTGGGGCCATTTAGCAAGAGGTGATTTCTAGAAAATAAGATCTGCCTGTGGCTAAAAGCCTGTATCACTGCTTCTAAGCCCTCTAGGGACAAAGTAGGTCACACACTTTTATAAGCTGTAGTTTAGAAAATCATATCCAGCAAGAAAAGCAGTAGATAAAATGTGCATTTTTCACTATTGCATTTGAACAACACAGGTAACAGAAACATCATGCCAATATATATACATACATATATGGGTTTGGTTTTTTATCTTTTCGGGTGTTGTCTTGGTTTGGGGAGGAGGATTGTTATATTAGGTTTTTGGGTTTTTTGAGAACAAACCTAAAGCTGGGTGGGTAGAAAGGGGGTCTGGAAGGACTTGGGGGAGAAAAGGCTATGATCAAAATATATTTAAATTTAAAAACTGTTTTAAATAATAAATATAATTAAGAAAGAAAAAAATTACATAAGACACCGAATTAAGAGTCAATTTTGCCAGGCGGTGGTGGTGCACACCTTTAACCCCAGCACTCGGGAGGCAGAGCCAGGAGGATCTCTGTGAGTTCGAGGCCAGCCTGGGCTACCAAGTGAGTTCCAGGAAAGGTGCAAAGCTACACAGAGAGACCCTGTCTCGAAAAACAAAAAAAAAGTCAATTTTTCCTTTTATAGTGAGTAAAATTTTATTACACAGCAAGCTATTTACAGAAATCTCTCAATTTCACAAAACAAAACACAAGTAAAACTGTAAGTTAACCATTTCCGGTGGTTTACAGTCACCAGACTTTTTGGTGGTTGAGAGTAAGAGGTTCCAGGCAAAGCCAAAAATTAATACATCAAAATAATTAATTACATCAAAACCAAAAACAACAGGCAGCTCTCCGCGTTTGGTTCTAAGATTTTTTTTTTTTTTTTAATTTTTTTATTTTTCTGAGACAGGGTTTCTGTGTACTCCTGGCTGTCCTGGAACTCACTCTGTAGCCCAGGCTGTTCTTGAACTCAGAGATCCACCTCCCTCTGCCTCCTGAGTGCTGGGATTAAAGCCATGTGCTCCACCAACACTTGGCAAATTCTAAGATTATTTAAAAAAAAAAAAAAAACCTAAAATTAAATTAGCAATTTGGCCAGAAGAGAAATCTGAAACGAATTAGTCTTAAGGAACAAATTCTGCCCTCCTTCCCCACCACTCAGAAGGACTGGACATCATAACCAGAAGTCCCCGGCAAGGACAGTGAAGCAGGCTGTCCTGGGAATCTGTTGAAAGCATCAGGTTGTATCAGGAATCTTAAAAGTTCTTATTAATAAAATCAAATCTGAGGCCAGTTATTGGGATGAACACTGGAAGATCAGAGAGACAGAACAAGCCATAGCTAACCTCACCTAGCCAACTTCTCAGCTGGTCTTGTTTCCCCAGACTAGAAGCTTCTGTGTCCTCATCCCAATGGCTCTCAGCTGAACTGCTGCTTGAAAGCCTAAAGCTTAACCAGCCAAATGCTTCTAGTTTCTGGTCCTCATGCCTTATATATCTTTCTGCTTTCTACCACCACTCCCTGGGATTAAAGGCTCGCTTTCTGGGATTAAAGGCATGAGTCACCATGCTTGACTGTATCCTTGAACACATGGATTTCTGCCTCTGGAATGCTAGGATTAAAGGCGTGTGCTACCACTGCCTATCCTTAGTATCTAGTGGCTTTTCTGTTCTCTGACCCCAAATAAGTTTATTAGGGTACACAATATTTTGGGGAACACAATACCACCACATCAGGTGCTGACACCGCAGGGCACATCTGGTCTAGACAGAATAACAGCCCGTAACCTAGCCAGCATTCACTAAACACCTGCTCTATTCCCTCCAAACACTCCACCTCTTGCCCTGCCCTGTGTGGACTACGCAGGACCTCACAATCTCCATGAAGAGATCCAGTCACACTGGGTTGGTAGGACACTCAGCCTGCTAATGCACTACTGTAAACATGCTCCAGAATTCCCCAACACTGAGCCTTCCGCAGCAGTACTTACAGTCTTTCATGTCTCTAACATCACTAAAATCTCTCATACACTTAGCCTGTTTTCTGCTCTCCGTAAGTATTCCAGCGTCTTGAACATTAAAGAAAGAAAGAAAAAAGAAACTTTAACACAATAGGATGTTGAATGTCTTCCTTTAACTGTAAACATCTTCAAGTCAATGACTGTTTTTTATTGTATCCTCTATACCTATAATCCCAACAGGTGCCCAGTAAATAATGCTGAATAAATGAAATTAAAAACAGAGCATCGAATGAGATTATGAGTTCATGGAACAACATAAGCTTGAATGTTACAAGTCCCTACCTGGTAACTAACTGTTTTCTTTCCATCACTTCTAGTATGAGGTAAGGTTAACGGTCCTGATACTATCCAAACATCTTCAAATCTCTCCGTCAGCTCACGACAATACATTTCTATTCTGAAAAACAAATCAAAATATGTTACATGTTCACAGGCATACATGTAAGAAAGCAGCAAGTCACCCAGTCCCTAGGAAAGACACCAAGATCTCATTGAAGAAATTAACTTAGGGATGCCCATAGTGGCACACACCTGTAGTCCCGGCACCAAGGAGGCAGAAGCAATTAGATCTCTGGGAGTTCAAGGTTAATCTGGTCTACAAAGAGTTTCAGACCAGCCAGGGCTACATAGTGAGACCCTGTCTAAAAAAAATTTTAAAGCCAGTAGGTGGTAGTACACATCTTTAATCCCAGCACTCAGGAAGCAGAGGCAGGCGAATCTCTCAGTTCAAGGCCAGCCTGGTCTACAAAGCGAGTTCCAGAACAGCCAGGGCTACACAGAGAAACCCTGTCTGGAAAAACAAAAAACAAACAACGAAAAAAATTTAAAGCAGTCTTTTGAACTTCAAACTATTAAAACACACACACACACACACACATCAGATCCGGCATGATGACGCACACCTTTAATCCCAGCACCCAGGAGGCAGAGACAGGAGGATCTGTATAGGTCTGTATAGGTGAGAGACCAGTCTCATCTACATAGTGAGTTCCAGGCCAGCCAAGGCTACGCAGTATCACAACTGTAGCTTTGCAAGCTCATCCCATCTGAAGCTGAAGGTAAGATTTACACTGAAACGTTTCTCAGACCGTCTTCTGCACTTACCTGTAAAAGTCAAATGCTAAACTGCAATTCCCTAAGTGATGGCAATTTCTAGAACACGTATCATCAAAGACTGCTGGAACCAAACAGTCATTCCATTTTCACTCGGCACCAGAATGTATCTCTCCTAAAAGGCTGAAGACACTAGGAGCACGGACTCCCTTACTAGCTCAACACAATGAACTCTTGGGTTCTGGCCGCCCCATGCGGCAGCTGTCCTAGTGGAAACCATCTACAGGGCTAGGGGCAGAGACAACACAACCCTCCACATGGTAGTGACATGCACTCATTATACTGCACTTGGACATCTAAAGGAGAGGCAACACCAGCCACCATGCCTCTGAGTTTCTTCCACAGTGCAGATGCCCAGTTCCAAGGTAAGTTCTCCTCCTTACAAAGAGCTCCCTTGAGAAAAGAAAATGTAAAAGGTTCCCATAGGTGTGCAATCAGCAAACACAACATGGAAGGGGTAAGAAAAACACCCCAGAGCTTTAACAAGCTGGAAGGAAAAGCTTTACAGGGAGTGCAAAGGTCCATGAGTTAAATCTGAACCTTAATTGGGTCCCAACAGCAACAAGACCCTCAGGGGAATGAACACTGTAAACCTGGTGCTAAAGAGTTACTGTTAATGTTTTAAGTACAATAGTATTGTGGGTTACATTTAAAACAACTCTTTCCTCCTAAAAATACAATTTATAGGAGGCTGGTAACTAGTGAAGTCTTTACAGATTCCTCTCACGGTTTTTATGTGTCTGTTTGCACACACGCACATTGGTGCGGGTGCCAGAAGCCAGGAGAGGTGTTGGAACCCCTGGAGCTGGAACAACAGGCAGCTGTGGGCTAGCTGGTGCGGATGCTGAGAACCAAACTCCGGCCCTTCGCAAGAGCAACATAAACTCTTGACCCCTGAGCCGCCTCTCTGGCCGCTGGGCTTTTAAGTATAGGGCATTTTCTTAATGTTTATTTTTTAAAATTTGTCTTTTATGTGTGTGTTACCTGCATGTACGTAAGTGTACACGTGAGACCCTGAAGAGGACACTGGTTCCATGGTGATACAGAGAGTTGTGAGTCACCACGGTGATGCTGGAAACTGAACTCAGACCCTGTAGCAGAGCAAGCAGTGCTCCAAGTGCTCCATCTCCCCAGGTCTGTTTTGTTTTTGGTGGAAGGGATGGAAGCCATGGCCCCTGCCCACGTGAAGCAAGTAGTCTACCAAGGAGCACACCCGTAGCCTGATTCGGAACCATAAAATATTATACAGGAAAAGCACACTGCCCAAAACCACCTCAGCCAGTGCTGGCCTCAGATGCCTAGGGAGACAACGTGACAGAACTCAACCATGTCCAAAGAAAGCAGAAGGCACAGCCGTTTGTTTCTACCACTAACATGGTAAATGGCTGTGTGGAACTGTACATGCCAAACTGTGCTCCTGCAAAGCTCAGAAAGAGGCAGGTGTGGTGCTGCACACCCGTCACCCCAGAACCTTCGAGGCTAAGGAAGGAGAATCCCAAGTTGGAGGCCAGCCTTGGACCTGACGGTGCCCTGCAAAGAGCTCAGGCACAAAGTGCCTTCCCTGGACAGGTTACTATCCCTCAGTTACTATCAGGAATATTCATTTCAGTAGCTTCTCTCAAAACCTGAAAAGCAGAAGCAAATGATCAAAGAGGCAGGCTATCTTCTGAAGGCTGTTCTCCCAAATACACCAAAGAGACTGGCCCTTCAGCCAGGAGAGCATCTGAAGAGCAAGAGACAGCACATACATGCCAACAGTCTGCGTCACCACCCACCACCCACACCTACCTATTCCAATAGCCAGAGTTATTGTCGAAATTCTGAGGCACGATGTTAGAAAGGTAAAAGGTTTCTGCCATGGCTTTCTGTGAAAAAAATGAAAACACGTGTTATTCCAGCATGCCTTCCCTTCTGAAGCCCCACAAGCAGATGCAGACAGCCCCATATTAACACCTACAGGTCTACTCATCAGTGCTGGAATCCGCTCACATCAGGCAATCATGCTATCACCCATCTACAGCCCCAACCCAATAATACTTATTTAGATAAACCCAGACATAAATATCCCAAGACAGAAAACTCTGTCATTATGCAAAATAACTCCAGGGCCAGTGAACTCGCTCAGCAGGTAAAAGTGCTTGCCCCACAGGCTTGCTGCCCCTAATCTGTTGCCCAGAACTGATATAAAGGTGACAGGAAGGAACCCACAAAGTTGTCCTCGGGCTTCCACATACAATCCATGCACACACCTAATACACACAAAATAATTTTAATTAAAAAAAAAGGACTAACCCTGCCTTAAAAAAAATTAATTTTTAAAAAGACTATAAGCTGGGTACATGGCCCATGCCTATCACCCCAGCGCTTCAGAGGGGAAAGCCGGGGATCAGGAACTCAAGGTCATCCTAAGCCACATAACGGGCTCTAGGACTGCCTGTACCACATGAGTGTCTCCACTAACAGTAACAACAACAGTAACAGAAAATAAGAACTATAATGTAAGTAGTTCAGTGTGTCTGGCTTTTCTTGCCATTTATAACATCCAAAAGCATGTTTATATGCTCCAAGGACTAAAAGCCTCCAAAGAAAGCTTGAGAGTCAATTCTGGCTTTAAGCCTCTGGAGGAAAAGCCAACTCTCAGGGATTTTATTGATTTTATTGAAGAGGTATGGAAAACAACAAAACATTTCGTTCAAAAGTGGCAGAGAAACACCCTCTTCTCCCCGTTTCCAGCCACCATACACTCGCTCACTTGGCAAGTCTGATCGACACACACAGGTCTGCTCCAATGTCTGTAGCCAGCAGCTGCCATCACCAGGCCCATGTCGTCAAGCGTGGTTCTGGCCTGGCAGCCACTGGACCGGATGGACTGTCACTTAGCTTCAACTTGGCTACAACTCTCAAACTTTTCAAACTGAAAATGCGTTCGCATCTGGGGTGTGGCTAGGTGGTAAAATGTCAGTTTATATGCACAAGTTAAAATTAAACGTGAAGAAACAGAAAAACAAGTAGCTTCAGTTCCTAGTGGCTGTTCAGCCCCCTTCACATTTAGAATTTAGTTCTTAGAGGCAAGAGACAGACAGACACGGACATTCTCAAGCTTTATAAGTTGGTTCCTAGATCATCAGCCACACATCCTCATCCTCTCGAAAGTATTCCTACACTGGAAAACTTGTTATTTCCTGCTGGGGCCATGTGTCCTCGTGACCAGCCACTTCCAACATAGTCCTCATTGAGAGCACTGAAGGTCGAAGGGACACTGGGATCAGGCTTGAATTTACAATGTTTTCTGTCTGCGTCACCTGAAGGAAAACACACAAAATGGTTATCTATGGGTCCTCTGAGGCAGGCAAGTTGGCTACTGCGGGAAGGCATCACTTCAAGCAGCTGGCATTAGGGACCACATGCATGTCTCAAGTTCCTAAAACAGTTTAGATACTTCATCTGAGCAAGGCTTGGTCTAGGACAGGATGCTTCTCATACAGTGAAGCTATCGCTCACATTCTGACTCTGGCCTTTCCAGTTCAAGTAAACCACCCTGGACAGAACTCAGCTGAAAACAAGGAGGTAGCAAGGGGCACAGAGAGCTCCACACCAAACAAACGTGTACAAGAACCATCAGGTAACCACAGCGGCTGACAGCATGCACAATACCTGCACCAGATCAAACCAGACAGAACCCAACAGAGGGGAGGGGCCACAAGCCCCACTTCTCACGGAGGAGCCACTGGCAACTGAGGGCTCCTGGGAGAGGGAGTCAGTTTGCTTCAAGAATCTGCCTGAGGGGTTACCCATGCGCCAGTAGATGATCTGACACCCAGGCACAAACTGGCAGCACTACGTGGACTGGGGGGAGGTTTAAAAAAAAAAAAAACTACACCTGAAACAAGGAGGGAATAGTGGTGAGAGGGACGAAACCGAAGGAGACGGGTATGGGGTGGACATATCAAAACCCATTATGTGCACACAGGAAATCCTCCAACAATAAAAAACAGGCCCCTAGCCGGGCAGCGGTAACACATGCCTTTAATCCTAGCACTAGCACTTGGAAGGCAGAAGCAGGTGGATCTCTGAGTTCAAGGCCAGCCTGGTCTACACAGTGAGTTCCAGGGCTACACAGAGAAACCCTGTCTCAAAAAAAAAAAAAAGCCCCTTGTATATTGTTTTACAAAATTATATTCTGACAAATTTACTTGTACTGAATTAATGAATAAAGGGAGAAAGATGCTTTTGTCTGCCTAGTGCCTCTTAAACCGTGACAAAATAAACATCTAAGGTAGGAGCTCCACTCAGAACACCTCAGATTTCTGAACAGGACAAGTGTTTGAATGTAAGTGGTGCTTTGAGTGAGAAGGCCTCCACAGGTGCGTAGATCTGCATGCTTAGTCCCCATTGGTGGGCTGAGGATTAGGAGGTGTGGCCTTGCTGGAGTGGGTGTGACCTCACTGGAGTAGGTGGGTCACTGGGAGTGGGCTGAGGTTTCAAAATCTCATGCTAGGCCCAGCATGAGATCTCTCTACCTGTGGATCAGGATGTAGCTCTCAGCTACTTCTCCAGCACCATGCCTGCATGCTTCCAGCCACTCTCCCCATGAGGATAGCAGACTCAATTAAAAGCTTTCTTTTGTAAGAGTTGCCTTGGTCATGGTGTCTCTTTACAGCATGGGAACAGTGACTGAGACACAGTGTTTATAAGCAACTGAGTTAGCTGTACTTTACCTCCTCAAAACTACCCAACTCACGGGTTTACAATGGAAAAAGCATTGCTTTCCTCATACCTATCTCAAAAGGATCACAATAGCAGGATAAAGTTAATAAAATTAAAATTCTTCCATTATTTTAACTTATTAAGCTTGATTATAAATCAAATGGATTTATGGGACACAAAGGTACAGTTAAAGGCTACAGATACAGCCAAGTAAGGATTTGATGCCAAGTGTGAGGACCTGAGTTTGGAGCCCCAGAGTCCATGTAAAGCCAGATATGGTAACACACATCTGTAATCCCAGCTCCTAGAGCAAGATACAAAGTGGAGACAGGAGAATCTCCAGAAGCTGGAGGCAAGTTAGCCTGGGAAACAGGAACAAACAGGAGACCTTGTTTCTAATGAGGTGAAAATGGGAAAACTAACTCTGAGGTTGTCCTCCGCCCTGCACACACACACACACACACACAGTGTACCAGTGCAGGTCCACCCTGCACACACAGTGGTCCGGTGCAGGTCCACCCTGCGCGCGC